CCTATTTTTCTAGTAGTGTTATATTCATTGGAGTAATGGTCAAATAAATAGAGTAAAGTAATAGCCAAAAAAGAGTAGAGTAGCTTATAAGAAACTTAGTCACAAAGTTTGTTCTTTTCTTTTCCATCAAGTATTCTTTATCGACTAAGAATTTTGACCATTATAAATAGATATACTAGTTTGTTACTCGTGGTGCACGGGAGGCAAGATATTGATAAAAACATTAATGAAGTTATATAACTCTGTAATATTTAATCATGTTCTTGCAAGTCAATGCAACAACATATTTTATTTTATTTAAGTATTCAAGATTTCATGGATAAATTTATTAAATATGAATATTGAAATTTTAAAATACTAAAAGCGAGATGTTTAGAGGTAATGAAAGAGAATATGTCAAAACAGAGCTAATGTTTTTGACTATTTCAAAGGCAAAAAGCTTTAGTGTTCCTTATTGATTCCAATAAACATTTAAAAAGAAATAAATAAATTAGTTTAGAGGAATTGATAAATCACCCAACCATACAAATAGTGCTAAATTAGTTATTTAGAAAATAGTTTAGAGGTTATATTGAGAATAAAAAAATATTTTTAGTAATCTTTTTAAAAGCCCTCTTTGGTATTGCAAGTATTCTTTTTTTTCTTGAATTTTTTTCATGACTCTTCACTAATTAATGAAGAATTTTTATAGTTAACAACTAATAATTCTCTTTATGTTGCAAGGAACGTTTTTTTAGAATATTAAGCAATACGAAAAATTCTTAAGTATTAATCCCATTGTTTTATCCATTAGAATGTTTTTAATGGTTGATTTCTAAATAAAAATTTGTTAATTAAGAATTATTTAAGAAAAATAAAATTTATGTTGGAGATATATTCAAAGGAATTGTAGTAAGATTTTCTAAATATTAAATTAGAATAGATGAGTTTATATATTATCTTATTCATAATGCAAAATGTGATGGTAGAATAGTTGGTGACTTGACCCAACAATATACACTAAATTCTATTTTTAGCAAAAATTGTTAGCATAAAGAAAATTCATAATTCTAACAGTGTTTGTATCCTTATGACTCGTCACTATAACCACAAATTAAACCAAAAGCAATGAAAAATTTACACATGTCCACATCACTTGAGTTTGCACCAATTTACCTCCAGTTCCCACCGGTTTGTTTTTCAATATCCTTTGTTAATTGTTTATCTCAAAGCACCATCTTTAATAATTTCTCTCTAAAAAAGAAATTTCTATTAAAAAAATTAAAAATAAATAAAACAATGTCCTACACAACCAACAAAACCAACAATTATTCAATTTTCTATTTTTAAAAATCAAGAACTCTACGACTAAGAAAATAGGCTCAAATGTTAATTAATTCTATCAAAACCAATAAAAAACTCTTTTCTTTTCAAATCGAACTTCTTTTCAAGACTTTTGAAATATCTAAGCATGGTGCTCTAGTTTGTATTTCACTTGTTTTTTAACAATTTTAATGGTTCTCTTTCATTGAATACAAAATTCAGATCTAGGTTTCAACATGACGTTCAACTTCTTTAATAGCTTTAAACTACAAAATTAGTGGTTGCATGGATTTTACATAATTAAATGTTTATAATTGCATTATATATGTTATTAATAAATGATGTTATCATATTAATAAATTTTTACAATTGCATCATAAATGCTGATGATAAATTATTTAACATCTATTGCTACATATTACCCTTTAACATTAAACAAAACTAAATACATTTCAATATTCATTCTTGAATGCGATTCTAATCATGCTATTTTTAGGAAGGATCAAAGTGTAACATAAAAGCAATTGAGAACCTCGATAACAACATTTTACAAAAAAAGCAAGCAAGGCCCTAAACAATTCTGAAAAAAATTAAAGACAATGCAAGCTTAAATTAATATAAGTGTCTCTAGTAATCAAGCAAAAAATAATTTTATAAATTACACACTTAAAAATAAATAAAAATATAAAATTTAAATAAGCTAAAAAATACATGACAAAACAACTGAAAAATGAACTTCACTACGGAAAGTGTGCCTTACTAATCCATGCATAATGTTTTTGTTTTGGTCCACAACTCGTTGCAAGACTTGTAGTTTTTAAGATGATTTGTTAATGTCACATAACATAAGAAATTCACCAAATCCTCTCTATTTAGCTCACGTATCAAACATACCATAGCAAACATTACAACTAAGTGTTTTCACTTCGTCAACAAATAAAACCAAGTTAAAATTTGAGAGTATTTCATATTTTAGATTCAAAGATGAACTTTCAACAACAAAGACAACACCTTTTAAAGTGAAAAAAAAAAAAACAAACAAACAAACAAGCTTATTGAAAGAAAATAGTTTGCATTTATTTAATAACATGAGCTAAAAAAAATGATTCATTATTAAGATTCAATGGCAAGCTTTTGATGGAAACACTTTTGCATGCAAAACAAAATTAATGATGGCAAATCTACAACTAATTATAAAAAAAAGGCAAAAATAAATTATAAAAATCATGAAAATTACAAATTCATCTTACGAAATTCAATATAAAAACATAAGATATCATTTATGATGGATAAAAAACCTAATTTTAAAGTTATGACATATCCTTATCACACCATCAAACAAAAAAAAAATGTGAAAAATTAGAGAAAAATTGAATGAAGTACTATAAGGAAGATTCCCTAAGAAACCACTTCGATCTATGGCCACAACACCTTCCATCACACTAGCATATCCAATCAAAAACCTCTTCGGTCTCAGCAATGACATACAACATTAGATTCTCCAAACAGACCATGAATATTAACACCGCAACAATTAAGTCCTTCCGCAATGACAAAAATTCCAATCATTTAAAAATTAACACATCAAAGTAAAATGACAACATGGAATTAATATGTAATAAGTTGAATCAACATGAAAAATGAACCAAAAACAAAATTTTGCCTCACAAATTAAAGAGCTAACCAACAATATTTGTTTTAAAAAAAAATTTCCTAAGCGGATTTGTTTTTTAAAAAAAATTCCTAAGGCTATATAAAGAAAACAAATGAAATGACACCTCATGTTCTTCAATCAAACAACTAAGATGCTCACTCCCTCTTTCGTCTTCTTCTAGTTCCATCAATTGAAAGGAAAAAAAATTATAGAAAAAAGAAGAAGATAATAAACAATTCAAGATCGTGGTTTGACCAATTTATGAAAGATATTAAGAGAAGGAAGGTTTTGATTTCCATGTTTGAGAGAGAGAGAAAGAAGGGAGTGGCAAATGAAGATGGAGGTTGGAATAAATTTAAGTTATATATCTTAATTTAATTGTTAGACTGTTAGGGTTTTTAAATGAATGAAAAAAAAAGAGAGGCACAATTACAAAAAAAAAAAAAAAATACATAAGATAGAAACAAAAGAAAAGCATGGAAGGGCGAAAAGGTAATAGAATAAAACTTTGTAATGGCAAAAGAGAAATTGGCAAAATAAATAAGGGCTATAAACAAACAACTTATCATATCTTTAAGACAAATTCAAAGGGCAACAACATCAATGATGAAGAGATAAAGTTTAGCCAAAGGACAGCTAAGATGTAAAGAAAGGACCAACACGATACAATTGAGTCACAAAATATAGTGCTTATGAGTCTATATATACAGTAAATGAAAAATGACAATTCTAGAACTTTTATTTTATTATTATTATTATTATTATTTGTAATATGTGGTTTCAGAATGTACAAAATATGCGAGTTGAGAAGTTTAGCTTAGTGTTGTGTTTTTTTTTCTTAGTGGATGTAGAGGAGGCATGAAGATGAGATTTGGGGTATAAAAAATTACAATTATATTATTATATTGATTTTTTTATAGCAAATAATTATTATCCAATTATTTGTAGCATAAACATAATTTCGTGGAACCATATTAAATCTTTTATATCTATTTTTTATTCATTGAATTGGATGGCTTACATTAGTACGTTGAATGTCTAGTAATTAATTTCCTAACAAGATCGACTTATCTCCGTATGTACATTCAATTCTGCCTCTTTTTTTTTATGAATCACTAGCATTTCCTTAATATTTAATTAACTAGATAAGCATGGAACGCTGCGATATTTGGCTGCTTATATTTCTGCAGAAGAACCAAAAAACAACTACTATTCCCTATTAACTTTTGTCTTCATTTCCTTACTATGTGAAAGTTTTGTTGCGATGCCGTGCCTAGATGCAGCTCCATCGAACGGCTTTTAATTAGACAATCATCTCTGTCTGGCTACACTTACTATCAATCATACTCGTACGTGTCATCTTGCATGCCAAACCAAGAAGCCAAGTGTGTGAATGCATGCTTGGCATCCACCATTCCACCTTGCATAAATCAGTTCGTCGTTTCTCTCTGTCAACGTAAAATCGCAAAAACCCTCTTTCAACTTCATTCTATGAATTACTAACTAAACCATGTTGAATATTAGAGCTTACAAGTCTCCTATCTTCTTTCTTCTTCCATTGTTGTGCCTTTCTTCTGTGTCATTCTGTCTGGGTTATGAGGTTACATCCCCAAAAATTGACCTTGACCGATGTATAGAACGTTGCCATAATACCGAGGAGGAGTTTTTAGGACTAATCGAGTGTGCAAGTCGGCGCGAGCAAAAATACGAAGAGTGGGAATCGGGGAAGCAGCAGAGGCAGCTCGGAAGGAGAGCGTGAAACATCAAAAGACCCAAAGAGTCCTCGATGGGAGATTGAACGCTGCCAACGGGGTTGCGAGAGAGAGGTACGTGGTGGAAAAAAGAACTACAACAGTGTAAGCAACGCTGCGAAGAGGAAGGGATCAAGGAGAGAGAGCGAGAAGAAGAAAGAGGGCAACGAGAAGGTGAGGACAACGAGGAAGAGAAGAGGATCCTCGGAAAGAATTGAAAAAGAGCCGTGAACTGTGCCAAAGACAAAAACCATGCCAGCAACCCCAATGTGAGAGGAGGTGTGGGCGGCAATATGAGGAAAGACAGAGAACATAAGAAAAGAAAGAGCAATATGGAAGAGGCAGAGGAAGCTCAAATGGAGAAAGTAGGGAATATGAGGAGCAATAGAGGCATAATCCCTACTACTTCCATTCACAGAGATCGAAGTCACGATTTAGGAGCTAAAATGGTCATTTCAGAGTTCTTGAGAGGTTCTCTAAGAAGTCTGACGACCTTGAGAATTATTGTTTCACAATTTGTTAGGAATGCTTTTGTGGGCCGTCATTATAGCGGAAGAAAGGGGCAACCAGAAGAGGATTCAAATGAATAATTGGCGGCAATTCAGTTCCTAAATTAGTGGTATCATTATTGTTATATTTCTCTTTGATTATTTCCTTGTTTAGCTGATTAGCATTTTCAATTATTTTGTTTCCTATTCTTAGTAGATTCCTAAAATAATTACACTTAGGCTTGTACTATTTAAAGGATTTGTTTCAATAAGACAAGGGGCAGATTTCTTTATACTGATCCAGAGATTGGTGCTCTCTCTCAACGAGCCAACCTTCATTCATCATAGGGCGCAAGCGTAGAGCTAGTGCCACTAGGGGAATTCAAGCTCCTAAGATTAATCATCGACCCGTGACCAGATCTCTCACTTAGGGTCATAACATATTGGTATCAGAGCCAACAGTCATGGGCGATTCACCTCGATTGAGTCCCATATTGAAGGAGCAGTTTGCTAAGTTCTTATAATGGTATGTATAGGATCAAGAACAATTGGAACAAAGGCTGGACTAGATCCAGCGTGACAAGGCAGTAGCCATGGAAGAACTCCAGTCACATACCATGGACAGATCCAAGGATGGCAGTAGAGAATGGGATATGAGGGTAGGAAATAGTGGAGGTCCCTGACACAATGACGGACGCAACGAGTAGACCCTTGTGCCTTGATACACAAAGCTAGATTTTCCAACTTACAGCGGGATCGAAGACCCTCTCAGATGGCTCAATCGCTGTGAGCAGTTCTTTCACAACCAACGGACACATGAAGCAGACAAGGTGGGACTAGCAGCCTTTCATTTGATGGGGAATGCCCAGTTGTGGTACTACAAATTGGAACACGATAAATCGACTATTTCTTAGTATGAATTCTCTCGTTATTGTCATCTTAGATTTGGTCCCCCTTTACGTAACAATACATTGGGAGAACTGATTAAACTCTAACATAATGGTTCTTTGGAGGCTTATATGACTAAGTTTTAAGCTTTATTGGCTCGGGCTACCTTGGTTCGTGTCGATCAGAAAGTTGACATATTTACATCGGGTTTAGCAAAATCATTACGCGTGGACGTGGAGTTGCAAAATCCATCAAACCTCATAACTACCATGAGTCTTGCAAGAGCCTTTGAGAAACGCATGCAAGTTACTGGTTTGCAAGAGCCACGGAAATAATGGCAGCATTCAAGGCCGAATACACACACAACAATTTCAGCAAGGACAACAAAATGGGGATCAGAATTAGGGACAACAGCTGTAAAAGGAAGAAATAACATATAGAAAGGCATGCAGACTATGTTTCAATTGTAATGAGCCTTACACATATGGCCATAAGTGTAAGAAATTGTTTTGGAAGATGCGAAAGAGGAGTTAGAGATGCAAGGGTGTAGTGAACCTAAGATATCTTTACATGCAATTACAAGTGTTGGAAATGCACAAATAATGCATCTTCGGGCAAGAATCATGAGTCACTCTGCCTTGGTATTAGTGGACTCAGGGAGCACACATAACTTTATCAATGAAGAGGCGATTAGGAGGTTCAATCTTGTTGTTAAACCACGGTTAGGACTGTAAGTATTAATGGCAAATGGTGAACGGGTCTCAAGTCTAGGTGTTTGTGAGGCAGTTATTGTACAGGTATAAGAAAATTCTTTTACCACTGATATTTATATCATAACTTCGAGTGGTTTTGATGTGGTTTTAGGAGTTAAGTGGTTGCAAACTTTGGGCTCAATAGTGTGGAACTTTGCCACACTCACTATGTCTTTTGGGTTAAATGGATGAAAAATACAGTGGCATAAGGAGACACCAACCAAGATAATCAGAATTCATTCCTTATAGGAAGTTCAACCTCCTAAAGCACTGCTGGATAGAATACTAGCAGACTACAAAGACCTGTTTTGTGCACTCGTGAGTCTTCCTCTCCAACGTTCTCAGGATCACAAGATTCCCCTGCTGCCTAAAACAGCTCCAGTGGTGGTGAGACCATACCGATATCCATTTTTACAAAAAGATAAGATTGAGAGACAATGTTCAGATATATTGAAACAAGGAATTATACGACAAAGTCAATCCTCATTTTCTTCTCCCGTTCTGTTGGTTCAAAAACATGATGGCTCTTGGCTCTTTTGCATAGATTTAAATGCATGGATAGTGAAACATAAGTTTCCTATATTAGTGGTTGAAGAATTACTTGATGAGCTCTACCCATCAAGTCAGAATGGACCCTCGAGATATTAAGAAAACTGCATTCCAGACACACCATGGACACTTTGAGTTTATGATGATGCCATTCGAGTTAACGAATGCTTCGTTGACATTTCAGTCCTTGATGAATGAGGTATTTCAAGCTCACCTCAGAAAATTTGTATTGATTTTTTTTTTTTACAACATTCTTATTTATAGTTCAACTTTAGTGGAACATTTAGCCCATATTGGCATGGTTTTTGATCTATTGAGAACTCACAAGCTCTTTCTTAAGCAATCCAAATGCTCATTTGGGGAGCCCCAAGTGGCCTATTTGGGTCATGTGGTTAATGGTACAGGTGTCTCTATGGATATGAGCAAGGTGTAAGCAGTGAAAGATTGATCGATTCCCTATTCTGCAAAGGCCCTTTGCAGGTTCTTGGGGTTGATAGGTTATTATCATAAGGTTATACACGAATATGGAATAGTGGCAACACCTCTCACCAATCTGTTGCGCAAGAATACATTCCATTGGACTGCTGAAGCTGGTGCCTCTTTTTTGTCCCTAAAGACAGCCCTCTCAACTATACCAGTTCTCCAATTACCAGATTTTTCAATAGGCTTTGTAGTTGAATGCGACGCCTTTGATTATGGTATTGGAGCCGTTCTTCAGCAAAGAGGCTACCCAATTGCCTTCTTTAGCAGAAAACTTGCAAATAGGTACTCCACTTTGTCAGCATATGAGCAAGAACTTATTGGGTTGGCCAAAGCCATCCAACATTAGAGGCCATACTTGTGGGGGCGAGCTTTTATCATTCGAACCGACCATTACAGCCTCAAGTTTCTGCTGGAACAGAAACTGACCACTTCTCCTCAACAACGGTGGGTGAGCAAACTCCTTGGATTCGACTTCAAGGTGGAATATAAATCATGAGCTACAAATAAGGTGGCAAATGCCCTTTCTAAAAGGGAGAAGGAGGTTGGAACTCTATGTGTTATGTCTCATTCCAAGGTGCATTTGTTTGATTCAGTCCGTGCTGAAATCGAAGCTTCTGAGGTGTTGACAACCTTGCGCACCAAGGTGTTAGATGGACATGAAATTGACAAACGGATAGTACGGGATGGTCTCATTCTGTATAAGGATCGGGTTTATGTGTTACCCACCTCACCTCTTGTTTCTACTGTCATTGCAGCCATCCACAACATAAACCATGAAGGTGTGCAGAAAACTCTTCAAAAAGTGTGGGCTGATTTCTTTTAGAAAGGGATGAAGGGTGGGGTTCGAGATTTATTCAGGGCTGTTCGGTTTGTCAGAAAAACAAGACTGATCACTTGTACCCAGCAAGACTTCTCCAACCACTACCTATCCTATAATATATCTAGTCAGACATCTCAATGGATTTTATTATGGGCTTACCAAAATCTAAGGGGAAAACTGTTCTCCTTGTGGTTGTTGTTTGATTCTCTAAATATACTCACTCTTGCCTCTAGCTCATCCATACACAACTGTAAGTGTTGCCCACTTGTTCTTTAAGCATATTTTCAAGTTACATGGTCTTCCCCAATCCATTGTGAGTGACATGGATGCAACCTTCACCAGCAAATTCTGGACTGAATTGTTTAAACTTTATGGCACCAAATTATCCCTCTCTTCAGCATACACCCACAAACTGATGGTCAAATAGAGGTGGTTAATTGGACGCTTGAGATGTACTTACGATGCTTTGTTGGCAATCATCCCAAAAAGTGGGTTCAGTGGGTGCCTTGGGCAAAATACTGCTACAATATAAGTTTTCACACTTCCTTGCTCATTACACCATTCAAGGTTGTGTACGGTCGAGACCCCTCTAGATTGCTATCCTACATTCCAGGTTTCACAAAAGTAGAAACTGTGGACCTTGCTCTTTAACGCCGTGATGAAGTGTTGGTTGAAGTACGAGCCCGATTGCAGCAGGCCCAAGGACGCATGAAAAGGTTTTATGATAAGAAACATAAGGAAGTTATTTTCGAGCTTGGAAGTTTTGTATGGCTTAAACTCCATCCACACCGCCAAGTCACAGTAGTAGGCAAGCAGCACCACAAGCTGGCTCAGCGGTTTTTCGATCCTTACCAGATTAAGGAACACATTGGTCAGGTTGCATATCGACTGATTCTACCTGGTGAAAGTCGAATTCATGATGTATTCTATGTCTCCCTTTTGAAAAGGTTTGTGGGCACTCCTCTAGAGGTTCCTACACCACTTCCTTACATGGTAGAGAGGCGTGTGGTACCAGTTACTCAGTGTATTTTGCGTTTCAGGCTTAACAGAGAAACTTGGAGGTGTTGGTGCTGTGGCTAGGACAAACTGAGGTGGAATCAACATGGGAGCCATTAACTGAGTTCCAGGAGCTCTACCCAGATTTTGAACTTGAGGATAAGCTCCATATTGAGGAAGGGAGTGATGTTAGGGATACTTTTGTGGGCTGTCATTATAGCAGAAGAAAGGGGCAACCAGAAGAGGATTCAAAGGAATAATTGGCGGCAATTCAGTTCCTAAATTAATAGCATCATTATTGTTATATTTCTCTTTGATTATTTTCTTGTTTAGTTGATTAACATTTTCAATTATTGTGTTTCCTATTCTTAGCAGATTCCTAAAATAATTACACTTAGGCTTATACTATTTAAAGAATTTGTTTCAATAAGACAAGGGGCAGATTTCTTTATACTGATTCAGAGATTGGTGCTCTCTCAACGAGCCCACCTTTAGTCATCATAGGGCGTAAGCGTAGAGCTGGTGCCACTAGGGGAATTCAATCTCCTAAGATTAATCATCGACCCGTAACCAAATCTCTCACCCAAGGTCATAACACAATTGTTGAGGCAAAT